TAATAAATTGAAATAATGGTTATAATTCATAATATTTCGATTGCGGGTCATTGACCCCATCGACTGTATATAACGCGAAAATTGTCACCGGCTCAGTCAGTTTGACTAATAACTCGTTTTAATATGTTTGTGATTTGTAAATTTAAATATTTTATTTTTTTTGTTGTATTGCGTTTATTTATGTTTTTAATTTATTGACGTGATGTTTATTTTGTTGACTTTAACTAGGTAAAAATTGTTTTTTATTTTTTGTTTAAATTTAATTTTTTAAAAATTTTGTTGTATTAATTTTTATAAAAAAATTTTTTCTATTAAAGTGACCTGATGATGGTGGCGAACCTGACCACCGAAACGTCGTCTATTTTTTAAAAAAGTAAAAGAGTGTTTTTCTTTTACCTTTTATATACGTCTTCCAAAAATCGAAAAAATTAATTTATTAAACTATTAAAATTAAATATTAAAACTAGTGAAAATATGGTTAAAAGGCGCAAAGTGCTTACGATAAAATATAAAATGCTCTTATTGAAAGAAATTTTCAAATGTTAAATGTTTAAGTCAAGTTTTGAAACCTAACCTCACTTTCTAGTGGAATCTTGAGAGTGAGCTAATTCAGAGGAATAGAAATTTCTACTGATTTGCTGTACTTTCTCATTCTTTTGAATGCGCGTTTTATATTTTTGTGAAGTCAATTCAGAATAATAGACTTTTCTGAAATTTTGGCACAACTTTAGATGCGTCAGTTGGGCCAACCACAATTTTCAAAGTTTGGCCAACTTCAACTGCCAGAGGTAAAAAATTATTTAAAAACTAAATTATTTAAACAATTAACAGGTAATTATTAGCGGGAACATCAGATATAACCTTTAGCTATTATTATTAAACACAATCTCATACATACATTTTCGAAAATATCTAACGCTCGCTGGGATCGAACCCCTAACCTAACGCACCGAAGACTTATACACTGACCACTATGCTACGCTTACATGGGAATATATAACGTTAAATATATATTAAAGCTGAAACAGTCGGGCCAACCGTGGCCCAGATTTTGGCCGACCTAGAAAGTATAAGTCAATTAAACTGCATTTGACAAAGTTTTGCCAACCGTTGGGCCAACTGAGGCCCAGAGTTTGGCCGACCAAGAGAGTTTAAGTTATTTAAACTGTTTTATAAAGTTTTGCCAACCGAGGACCAGAGTTCAACCGACCATGAAAATTTAAGTTAATTTAACTGCGTTTCACAGAGTTTTGCTAACCGTCGGGCCAACCGAGGCCCAGAGTTCGGCCGACCAAGAAAGTTTAAGTCCCCAGTGAAAAATTTCTCACCGGTCCAATATCGGTCCAATATTGGGAGCCTTTATTGGACCGATCATCGGTCCAATAAAGGCTCCCAATATTGGACCAATATGGGCTGGTGCTTGGGATGTAACGGGTTCGCCAAGCATCGGTTGTTAATATTGGTCCAATATTGGCAACCAAGAGAAAATTTTTTTTAAAATAAATTTTTTTAATTAAATAATAATAATAAATTAATGTTTATAATTTTTGTTTAATATATTTATTTGTTTAATTATTTATTTTCAATAATTTATGTAAATAATAAATAATTAAGGAAGATTTCGACTATATCAGCAATTAGTGACATCTATTAGACGTCAATTGAACTCTTTGGTTTAGAGTTAGGTGTTATTCTTAAGATAATTATTCCGATATGGTTGTCGGTAAATAATTATATTTTTGAATTTAATTTTTGATCTGAAAAAATAAGCCGCGTGAACGACTGCACTGTGCATCTGTGAGGACTCGAACCCCAGTTAATAGCTGCCTTTCGCGGGACTAACGCCTACCAATGCACCATGCCAACACAGCCTGGACGTTCACGTTTCTTATAATCTCAGATCAAGCCCATACACTAGTCGAAGAGCTGTATAGTTAATGTAGGGAATTATTTGCTGATTGAGAATTTTAATTAAGGAAGATTTCGACTATATCAGCAATTAGTGACATCTATTAGACGTCAATTGAACTCTTTGGTTTAGAGTTAGGTGTTATTCTTAAGATAATTATTCCGATATGGTTGTCGGTAAATAATTATATTTTTGAATTTAATTTTTGATTGATTTTTGATTGCTGATATAGTCGAAATCTTCCTTAATTAAAATTCTCAATCAGCAAATAATTTCCTACATTAACTATACAGCTCTTCGACTAGTGTATGGGCTTGATCTGAGATTATAAGAAACGTGAACGTCCAGGCTGTGTTGGCATGGTGCATTGGTAGGCGTTAGTCCCGCGAAAGGCAGCTATTAACTGGGGTTCGAGTCCTCACAGATGCACAGTGCAGTCGTTCACGCGGCTTATTTTTTCAGATCAAAAATTAAATTCAAAAATATAATTATTTACCGACAACCATATCGGAATAATTATCTTAAGAATAACACCTAACTCTAAACCAAAGAGTTCAATTGACGTCTAATAGATGTCACTAATTGCTGATATAGTCGAAATCTTCCTTAATTAAAATTCTCAATCAGCAAATAATTTCCTACATTAAATAATAAATAATTTATTATTTATAAATTATAATTATTTTAAAATGCAGCAGCTATTAGGAAATAGCCTTCTGCAAAAAATTCTATCATTGAAAAATCAATGATAGGCGAGAGATATACTCACAGATATACTCTGGTCTCGCGACGAATCTCTCGATACTTATATACACTGGAGTCGCCGTGTCAGTTGCGAGAACGGTTACAGCGTCCCTCTTGCGGCAGAGATAAGAAAATTATCACGTGAACTGCTAAATCGCTTTACCGTCGGCCTTATTATACACGCAGTTTACGTGATAATTCTTATCTCTGCCGCAAGAGGGACGCTGTAACCGTTCTCGTGTGGGATTGCAATTGCACACTTTGTACATAATAAATAAATGTTGGAAAGGTTCCCACAACCTTACGTGTTCAATAAACGAGAAAAATATAATTTATTATAACGACTTTATTCACTTATAATATTTCGTTGATCAACGAATATAAGAGAGATGTGACTCGTTCGACTGTACAGTTAATAATGTCCATTCACACACACACATTCTACTACAACCTTTTAGCCCACATAGCACAATAGTATGAGGTAAGGTTATGTTGAGTACTAATCGTAAGGCTCATAAGGTTACACGATATTGCTGTGGTAGACCTGAGGTGAACTAAAAACTTCCGCCATGGAGGTAAGGTTACATGTTAGGGTGTGGTGACTATATATGATAAGGCCATGGTAACCTTACACGTTAAGGCTGAGGTAACGTTACATGTTAAGGTTGAGGTAAGGTTACATGTTAAGGTTGAGGTAACGTTACATGTTAAGGTTGAGGTAAGGTTACATGTCAAGGCTGAGGTAAGGTAATTATCAAGTTGTAAGGTTGAGGTAAGGTTGTGATAAGTTTACCAGTTATAGAAAATATTGAAAAAATAATTAATAAATAAATATTCAATTAAAATGTTAAGTTTGTTGCTCTTCTCTATTTTGGAAACCTGACATGAAGCAGAAAATTTTGAAAACAAATTTGGGGGGACTGGGATTCGAACCCGGGATCGGCGCGCATAAACCTATCATTCTAACTAACTGAGCTAAGTAGAGAACTGGCAGAAGGAAAATTAATGTTGCCTTTAAGGAGTTAATCATCTTCTTGGTTCACCTTAAAGGCAACATTAATTTTTCTTCTGCCAGTTCTCTACTTAGCTCAGTTAGTTAGAATGATAGGTTTATGCGCGTCGATCTCAGGTTCGAATCCCAGTCCCCCCAAATTTGTTTTCAAAATTTTCTGCTTCATGTCAGGTTTCCAAAATAGAGAAGAGCAACAAACTTAACATTTTAATTGAATATTTATTTATTAATTATTTTTTCAATATTTTCTATAACTGGTAAACTTATCACAACCTTACCTCAACCTTACAACTTAATAATTACCTTACCTCAGCCTTGACATGTAACCTTACCTCAACCTTAACATGTAACGTTACCTCAACCTTAACATGTAACCTTACCTCAACCTTAACATGTAACGTTACCTCAACCTTAACGTGTAAGGTTACCATGGCCTTATCATATATAGTCACCACACCCTAACATGTAACCTCACCTCCATGGCGGAAGTTTTTAGTTCACCTTAGGTCTACCACAGCAATATCGTGTAACCTTATGTGCCTTACGATTAGTATTCAACATAACCTTACCTCATACTATTGTGCTATGTGGGAGGGTAAAGGGGATTTCACACAGCAATTCCCCACACTCGCAACTGACACGGCGACTCCAGTAAACGGGATCCACACACACATACATACATTTGGGCATTTGTTCAGTGTCTTATATAACACATTCTATATAGATGAAAATTTGCTTAAAGCATTTTTTAAAATTTTTTAACTTAAAGGTGTACAAAGCTTCCTCCACTAGGAAGCAAAAAATTCTAAACCTAACATACTAGTTTTTACTTAGCTGACTTCGTCGCCTAATGTGGCGGATACAGACAAGACGGTGATCCACCACATTCTTTTTCTATGGAACTGCCCTATTATTAAACCTCGTCCGACGAGACTATCCATATACTATTATTTATTTCCCTTCAACATTCGTTGCAGAAGTAATGGTAGATTTGAATGTTAAACTCATTTTTCTTTAAATTGCATTTTGAACACTTCTAAAATTGAATAATTACTATTTTTAATTTTTCACCTGAGAGGGTCTAAGACCGTTCTAACGGTTTAAAATTTAATTAAGATTAAGAATATTGCTCGTATAGATAAGTCCAATAATATTTTATCTAAAGGCGCTCGCACAGCTCTACTACCTGCCTGCCTGCAGGTCGTCATGGTAACACATAAGAGGAAGAGAGTCAGAAAATTCAAATTAAATGTTTTTCCTCCCTTACTCTCATTGCGCCTGACTGCGCTGGCAGGCAGGCAGTAGAGGTGAGAGAGTACCTTTAGAGTTACTTACGTAAATACTGCTTACTCTCAGCTTTGGTGAAAAATTTTTTTGCGGATTTAATAAATAGATCGCACAAACTTTAATATTTAGAAACTGCGTGAAACTTCCACAAAATGTTGAAGGTGAGTGGATGTGGCTAATACAAAACGTAGTATAGATTAAAAAATAATAAAATTTATCAATAAGGAAACAGAGCAGTTTGCCTAATGGACGTTAGAAAATACTGATATTTATTATATATCACAGTTTAATAACAGTTTCACGAAAAGAAATTTAATATAGTTGTCAAATTTTATGTTTATTTAAGAAATTTAGACAAAATAATTAAGAAAATTGGTTTTATTATCTGACAATGTGAATCATCACCTCATCTGTTGAAATTTCCCTCGAACCGTCATTAATAATAATTAGTACGGTAATTCAAGGTCATTGCAAAATAGAAACAAAACTGGAATCGCACATATATATATATATATATATATATATATATATATATATATATATATATATATATATATATATATATATAAACGAAAGAGTATGTTAGAGAAGTATAAGAGATATACCTATCCTTCTCTCATTCATAAGTTTGCCATTACCCCCCACAGCACCGAAACTTTCCTAAAAATTTATTAAATATTTATTTGCAATATTCGGCATATTTAACTGAAAAGTTTAGTGAAAATTGAGTAAAGATTTAAATGTCCCGATTAAATAAATGTTCAGGAAAGTTTCGCGCTAAACATTTATTTAATCGGGACATTTAAATCAATAAACATTGCAGTTCCATATTCCGAACATTGCAAGTAAATATTTAATAAGTTTTTAGGAAAGTTTCTGTGCTATTCTACATAAATTTTTTGATAGAAATATATAAAAGTTATTTATATTTTTATCAGTTTATTAATTTTTTTAATAATATACAACAAATGAAATATTCATCCAATATATTTATGATAAAAAATTAGTTTCCCAAATGTATAGGGCATAATATTTTATAAATCTGTCAAGAAAAGGCATTATATTTAAAAAAAATATTAGATCTACTTTGTCGATAAGTGGTGTACCCCCTTAATGAAAAACTCTACCGAAAATTTTATATATATACGTGACTTTTGAAATAATGCAATTTTTTAAAATGTTACATATGTTTGCTTTTATCTACTACTGTAAATTTGAAATATTACTAAACTTTATGTACTGCTATAACCAATCGCAATAAGTCACAGGTGCATACGGTACAGAAAATAAGAAAATTGTATTTATTTATTTATAAAAAAAAGTCAAGCAGTAAATTTTATTAAAAAATGTTAATTCTTTTCTTATCGAAAAAAATGTCAATTTAAAAATATATAGATTCCCTTCAAATGAAGGAATAAAAATTAGAGCTGTGCAAAATAATTCGAACCGAACTGTTCGAATTTTTTCGCCTAGTTCGAATGTCGAAAAACCGACATTCGAACTAGCCCAGTTCGGATGTCGAATATTCGACATTTCGGTGCCCCAAAACCGAACTAAACTCGGTTCGGTTCGAATTTTGCACAGCTCTAATAAAAATGTAAAAAATATATTTCTTAAAATTTCAATTATTTGAAAAAATTCTATTTAATTCAATAAAAACAAAATTATTAAATTTGGTTCCTTAATTTAATTATTAATTGAATTTCGAATAAATATATATTTTTTTAAATCAAATTTTTATTCAAATGAAGAAAGAAAATTTTTGATAAATATTCGTTTCTTAATTATAGTTATTTCTGAAAATCGAACATTTTAAAAAAAAGGAAAAACTTTTGCTGCGCATAATTTTTAAACATATTTTTGTACATTCTGTATATATTTTTAATAATTTTCCGAAAATTCTTCAAAAATTCAATTATTTAAATACAAAAAATTCAATGTTTTACAATAATTGTAACTCTTTATGTTTTTTTACAAAAGTTATTAAGATATAATTCCTATTTTCAAAAAATTATAATAATAAAATTCCTTAAATTAATCTTTTAAAAATATTTGTAAAGATATATACACATATATATATATATATATATATATATAGATGATAGTTTTTCAATTATATCCAATTGAAAAATTTCAAAGAATTAAAATTTGGTAAAATCTTTGAAAAGTATAATAAATAATATTTGTTCGATTCAAGGAAGATAAATTAAATAAAACAATAAATTTTCATTTTTTTGACAACGTTTCGATATAGACTGGTTCGCCATCATCATCAGGTCACTCATTATAAAATTACATCATCATTATGTAATTTTATAATGAGTGACCTGATGATGATGGCGAACCAGTCCATCGAAACGTTGTCAAAAAAATGAAAATTTATTGTTTCATTTAATTTATCTTCCTTGAATCGAACAAATATTATTTATTAACAATATACGGAAGGATAAAAAATTATTTTAAATTTGAAAAGTATAAAAAAAATAATCAAATTTTTGAACAATCTTAATTTAATTTTGTATAAATTTTTATGAAAAATTGTAATATAATTTTTCGATAATAATTGAATGTCTTAAAAGAATGTTTGTATAATTTAAAAACAACTAATTAATTTTTTCAAAATATGATTTTTCTCTAAAATGTTAAATATAATAAAACTCATCGCAGAATTTCAATTATTTTTAATACAATTTTAATCGAATTCCTCAAAAAATGTACTTATTCTTAAAATTTTTATTAAAATTCGTCACAAGAATTCAATTATTTAAAAATTAGGGAATAAAATTCTTTATAAGAATTCCATTTTAAGAAACATTCAATTATTCAATAAATTATTCATTTTATTTTGTATTTAATTAATTAAATTCTCGTTTAGAATTCTCTAATAAAAATTGATTTAAAATGGAGTTTTAGTAAAAGTTTTAGATAATAATTGAATATTAAAATCATTATAACGTTAATTGAGGGCCTGCATACAATAACAACCGCTGCGCTTGGTTGTAGGGGATAGTGATAACGGCCCAGGCAGAGGCCCTCACTACTGTCTGGCTGGTATTATCCCCTACAACCAAGCGCAGCGGTTGTTATTGTATGCAGGCCCTCAATTCTTAAAAATAATTGAATTTTAATTAACTAACAATTCTGTAGAATTTATTTTTTTTTGTAAATGCTTCATTAAATTTTTTTTTTGAAATTATTTCAAGTTTTTATTTAGATTTAATTCAAAAATAATTTTTGGTTGACTGTATTTCAAAGATAATTTTGTTTGATTAAAATATATTGTTTTTTTTCAGTGTATAGGTATTAAATTGCAAAATTTTTGAATAATCGAAATTTCGTGAAATTTAATTGTAATCAAATGGATTTAAAAATTCTCAAAGAAGTTCTTCAAAAATTATTTTAAAAAAATAATTGAGTTAAAGAAGAATTTTAGTTAAAAATTCTAGAAAATGTTAATTGAATTGAAATGATACAAATAAATTTTGAAGAAATTACAGTAATAATATTCTGATAATATAAAATAATGATTTTATCACTCGGTCATCTTTAATTATTATATTTAATTATTAATAATGATTAAATATTTATTTAAAAAAAGAAGTTATTGATGTTTTCGAATAATTTGACAATTAAAGAAATTCGTTAATAAATGTAATAGAATATCTTTTAGAGTATATCTTCAATTTCAGAGTGAATCTGAATATTAAAAGATTTCAGTTTTTTTTAGATATTTGTAAATGGAGAATTAATTGATGAACTCGATCTTTGTTGAATTAAGTATCAAATGTACACATAGAAAATTTTCGCTTTGGTAATTAATGGTATACGCCTTTTCTATCTTAACGCATACTCAAGTCAGTAAGTAGTCCAGAACATGAACACTTCTTATATAGAATAAGATACGCACTCAGTATAAGCAGAAATATCGCATGAAACAGTATAAAGCAAGATTCATCGAAAAAAAGTTTCCATACTTTGTAAAACATAATAAAAATTTATTTGTAAGTAAAGTTTATGCTAAAGAAAAAAAAATAGCAAAATTTCATTATTATGCTGCAAATATTGTGATCAATTTAATTGAGTTCCTTTTCTAATAATATTGTTATAGAAAACAAAATGATTATTACATTTTTTTTCTTTATAAAGTAATGTGTGATACCAGCAGACAAACCGTCATAAGCACTTCAGAATTTGGTTTATATTCGGATAGAAATTCAAATTATCGTGCAAATTATTATGGCAATGTGCTTAGAAAATCCGTGATTGGTGTTATGGCCGTAATTGCAGCTATATTAGTGAGTATACCCAATAAGGGGACAACAATTTTTTTTTATTTTTCAAAAAATAATTCAAATTCTTCAATTCTAAAATTTAGAAATTAAAAAAAAACTTTTCTAATAATATTATAAAGAGGATATCCCTGAGATTTTCTGTATAGATATATGCGATGCTGTGAAAGTAATAATCTCTAAAAATGTATTATTAATACAAAATTCAAAGCAGGTGTAAAAGTTGATTGTATATTATATATTTATTTGTTTTATCTCAAGAATCACCTTCTTTCCACATGTAAGTGAAAGTAGACAGAATGCAATTAATTTTAGCATGGCCTGGAAACTAACTAGCTAACTTACAAACTTAGTTACTAACTAACTAATTAACTTACAAATAACTAACTAACTTACTGACTAAATTACTAAACTAACTTGCAAACTTTTTTTTTTTTTTTTTTTTTTTTGAGGAGTGTCTAAAAATGCCTTACGCATCCCCTTGGAGGGGATGCCATAGGAAATAAGATTCATCAAAAGATTCAAATTCAAACATTATTGAAATTACTTAAACAACTTATAAAAAATTATTATAAAACATGAAGAAATCGATCACTCCGAGTCTTCGACATAACCGAGTTAAAAATTGGTAAGGAATTTATAAAACATTAGTAAGTAATTGAATTTTTTGCAGAAGAATTTTAATATTTACAAAGATAATTAAAATTTTGAGGAGAATTAAAAAAAAAATTTTTGAAAATATTTGAATTTCTGCAAAGAATTTTCTTACTTTTGAAAATAATTGAATTCTACAAAGAATTTTATCAGAACCTTTTTGAAAATAATTAAATTTCCAGGATGAATTTTATTATTTATGAAGATAAATAAAATTTTGACAAAGAAATTTAAAAAAAAAATTTGAAAATAATAAAATTTCTAGGATGAATTTTTTTATTTATAAAGATAATTGAAATTTTGACAAGAATTTTATTAAAATTTTTAGAAATAATTAAATTTCAGAAAAGAATTTTATTATTTATAAAGATAATTAAAATTTTAAACAGATTTTTTTAAATTTTATTATTTATAAAAATAATTTAAATATTCAACAGATTTTTAAACAAATTTTTGAAAGTAATTGAATTTTGCAGAAGAATTTTGATACTTATAAAGATAATTGAAATTTTGAGGAGAATTAAAAAAAAAAATTATGAAAATAATTGAATTTCTCCGAAGAATTTTATTACTTTTGAAGATAATTGAATTTTGCAGAGAATTTTATTACTATTTATAAAGATAATTGAAATTTTTACAAGAATTTTATTAAAGTATGTGTTGTCGAGAAATGTGATTTTTTTTTTACAATTTTGACAATTTGGTGTTTCCTATTTGTCGTTTTTTTTTAAATTTCATGCGACTTTTTTCCCACTTTTTCGGAAATTTTATTCAACTTTTCGTGACTTTTGTTGTGAATTTATGGGACTAAAGAGGCTCCCTGTATTTTGTAACTAAGTTGGTTAGTAAGTTAGTTAGTAACTAAGTTAAGTAAATATGTTAGTTAGTAAGTTAATTAGCAAAGCTAAGTTAGTTAGTAAATTAGTTAGTAAGTTAGCTAGTAACTTAGTAAGTTAGTTAATAATGAAGTTAAAATTAGATAGTTAGTTAGTTAGTTAATAAGTTAGTAAGTTAGAAAGTTATTTAGTAAGTAGGTTAGCAAGTTAGTTAGCTAAGTAAGTTAGTTAATAACTCACTATTTTCCCGGGGAAGTTAAATTTAGCGAATTTTGACAAATAGTAGGCTTGGTGTTTGATTTGAAGTGAAATTTCATTTCCAGTCGAAAATAACATCAAAATGGATGTTTTTAATCTTTTTTGGTGTTAATGTAAACCTAGATAGATTAATGTGTTGCTTTAACGTGATGTTAAACACCGTTTTGGTTTTATTTTAACATCTAATGATTTACTGTGTAACTAACTTAATATAAGACTTTGTTTTTACCGTGAAAGAATTAAATTCTAATTAAACTATGAATAGAAGTAAAAATATTGTCATTATTAAAGACAGAATTTGAGAATTGCCAATAGAGAAATTGATGTACTGGCTCAATACTGATTTACTATTTTCGAGAAAAATAATGCAATGAAATTAATTTTTGTACATATATAATATAGTCTTTGGTTTTTTCATTCAGTAGTACACCAATATTGGATCAAAATATATATATGTTACAGATTGGTATACTTCTATATGACTTTGCTGCTAGTACCAGTGGAGAAAATAAAATAAAGCAAGAGACAAAGCACGCATTTATTTTGCAAAAGTTTTTGAAAAGATCCAACGGAACATATAAACAGAAAGAAAATAATTAAGTTTTAAAATGGTATCCTATTACCATTTAATGTAAATCTAATTATTCAACGATTAAAGTCATTTTTTTTCAAGTTGCAGAAATTATTCAGATAACTTATACTAAGTAGCTAAATAAGTTCAAGAAAAATTGTAATATGTAATAAAACTATAAATCATAAATTTTATTTTGAAAAAATGAACTATATTATTTTAAAAATAATTTTAATATTATTTTATTTTTTTTTAGTTTCCTCTTTCCTTATTTAGAGAGACCTCATTCAAGCGCCATTAGAAGCTATACGTCCTATCTATACTCGTATGACAAAATCGTAATATTCAGTTTGATCGTTTTTAGAATTTTTAAAAATTATTTTTCCCAGTTTTCCGTTTAGGTCACAAAAGTTTACGGTAAGTGAATTTTCTTGTCATTTTAACTTTCTACACTTATAACAACGATTTTTAATAAAAATTAGTGATTTAGTGAGCCAAATCTATTTTTAAGTTGATTTTTGTTACTTCCCCCTGGCTTACAAAATTCACCGAAATTATTTAAATTTGTCAATTTTTAAAAATAAAAAAGTCAATTTTGAGATAATTTTGGTTTTATATTTTGTTTATTGCAATTTTTTTTACATTTCTTTTTACTTTATTAAAAAATTAATAATACCATTGTTCTCCTTAGTGAAAAATGAAAAAAAATCCAATGAATTTCTTTTGCAGTAAAATACAAATTTAACAATTCAGCCCCAGGAGCTGAAAAGCTGTTGAACAGCAATGATTTATAAATTGGAATTATCAGATCATCGCCATTAACTTGGTTTGAAGGATACGGAGCCACAATGTTGTCCTCGCAGCATAATCCTCTGACGATAAGATTTTTATGGTTTTTAAGTTATGAAGAATAAATACGAGTATCAATTCAGGGGAACAGTGCAGACTTATTTAATAATTCCAATTAATTATTTTAACTGAAGTTTCCCTTTACATTTGTATTTTTTAATTTTTATAATAGAAATTTTTTCATAAAATAAAATTTATTGTTAACTTGAAAACAGGTTTTAAAAAATGTAGTAGACATTTTTTAACTTCAACTTATATTAGTGACATATGTAGGTATCTTCGTCATAATTGTAAAAGCTTTAATTTGCCTTGAATTTTTTTCATTTCAGTGTAAATTTGTAGAAAAAAAATTATGTCTGAATGTCAAACTTTACAACTTAATCCATTAATATAGTAATCACAGATTTTGAATAATTTGAAAAACATTAAAGTACTCTAAGAACGTTTTTTTAAATTTTTTTGATTGTCTTTCTGGACGTCTGATTTCATTTCTTTTTGGACGTTTACTGATCGAGAGAAGAGGTCCTTTCCATAGTTAGAAAGATTTGAACTTTTAAATCTTTTTTTAGATCTCATAGAGATCTTATTTTTTAACAGTGTGTAAGTCATGTTTGATTGGGCACACGTTTTTCTAAGGATCCCTTAAAGTAAATCTCTAACTTGCGAAGTATCTGATTGTACAAGAAGAGTTTAATTAGAACTTTATAATATAAGTTTCTTAAAATGAATTTTTATTAGAGGGTTTTAAACATACTTTCTATAATCTTCTTCTTTTATTTAAAGTTCTTTACTTAAATGCATTATTTTCAATTTACCTATGGTCATAAAGAAGCATTTTTAAGTTATTAAATTAAACATCAAATTAGCAAATAAAAATTAAATTATTAGTTATTTTTTTATAATATGAACCCTAAAATCGAAACTTGTGAATAGAGAATAAATTCTACTTTTTAGTTGAACGCAACTGATTGTTGATATTTCACAGCATTTATTTTCCATTTAGATCGGTCAAATCAAGAATAGCTTTTATTGACACAGTAAATTGTGAGGTACTAAAAAGCGTCGCAGATAAAATTAACAACAAAAAGAACTAAAATAATCCATTTTGAAGTTATTTTCTACTATGACTGAAATTTTACTTCAACTCAAAACCATGTCAACGATTACTAACTATAACTAACAAACTAACTAATTAACTCAGTTACGAACTAACTAACGAACTTACTAACATACTGACTAACTTACTAAACTAACTTACTAACTGACTTAATAACTTACTAACTAACTTACTAACTAATTTTCTAACTCACTTACTAATTAGCTAACTTACTTACTTAACTTAGTTACAAACTAACTTAATAACTCACTTTCTAACTAACTAACAAATTTAATTACTAATTAACTTACTAACTTTCTAAATTACTTAAAAACTTAATTACTAATAATTCAATTAACTTTCTATCTGATTAACTTACTTAACTTAGTTACGAACTAACTAGCTCACTTACTAACTTACTTACTACCTTACTAAGTTAATTAAGTTTGTAAGTTAGTAAGTATGTTAGTAAGTTAGTTAGTAAGTTAATTAGTGAGTTAATTAGTAATTAAGGAGGCTCATGATTATTCCCCAAATGTCATTTTACCGAATTGCATTTATCCGAACTGTTATTTTAACGAAATGCCACTTTTGCGAAACGCCATTTTTACGAATTGACACATTTGCGAAGTCATTTTTTCGAAATTTTATTTTTACGAATTGTTTTTTTTACGAATCGTTATTGTTCCGAACTGACATTTTTTCGAATTGTCATTTTTACGTAATGTTACTTTTGCGAATCGATATTTTTACGAATTGTCACTTTTGCGAAAAGTCATTTTTGCGAATTATCATTTATGCGAACTGCCATTTTTTCGATTTGTTATTTTTACGAATTGTCACTTTTACGAAATGTCACTTTTGTTAATCGACATTTTTACGAATTGTCACTTTTGCGAAAAGTCATTTTTGCGAAATATAATTTTTACGAATTGTCATTTATGCGAATTGTCATTTATGCGAACTGAGATTTTTTCGAATTGTCATTTTTACGAAATGTCACTGTTGCGAATTGTCATTTTTGCGAAAATTGCTATAGTAAATCTATATATGCATACAAGTTTACTACAGCAATTTTCGCTAAAATGACAATTAAAGGGCTACATAAAATAAGGGGACGAACGCGTAGTTGAAAGGGATAATAATTATATCAGTCAGGTAGCAGCGAGCGGCTCAAGGCTTGTCACTGCTAACCCGACTGGTAGTATCCTTTCCAAGCTTCGAGTTCGTCCCCTTATTTTATGTAGCCCTTCAATTCGCAACAGTGACATTTCGTAAAAATGACAATTCGAAAAGATGCCAGTTCGCATAAATGACAATTCGCAAAAATGACAATTCGAAAAAATGACTTTTCGCAAAAGTGACAATTCGTAAAAATGGCAATTCACAAAAGTGACATTTTGTAAAAATGACAATTCGAAAAAATGACATTTCGAAACAATAAAGATTCGCAAATGTGTCAATTCGTAAAAATGTCGTGTCGCAAAAGTGACATTTCGTTAAAATAACAGTTCGGATAAATGCAATTCGGGAAAATGACAGTTCGGTCAAATGACATTTGGGGAATAATCATGCGCCTCAGTTAGTAAGTTAGTTAGTAAATTAGTAAGTTAATTAGTAGGTTACCTTAGTTATTAAATTACTACCTTAGTTACTAACTAACTTAGTAAGTTAGTAAGTTATTAAGTAAGTAAGTCAATTAGTAATTATGTTTGTAAGTTGGTTAGAAAGTTAGTAATGTTCTTGGTAAGTTAGAAAGTTAGTTAGTTAGCTGGTTAGTTAGTTTGTTTGTTAGTTAATAAATTAGTTACTAACTAACCATTGTCCCTGGTGAAACTAAATTCTACGAATTTTGACAAATCGTTAATTTAGTGATTTATTTAAAGTAAAATTTCATTCATAGTAAAAAATAACACCAAAATGGATTATTTTAATTCTTTCTGGTGTTAATTTAATCCTAAAGGGATAAAGCTGTTGCAGATTATTTTAATCCATTCTTGTTTTATTTTAATAACACCTTACGATTTACTGTGTGATAAGTGGCGTAGTATCGAAATCTACACTATATGACTACTATTTGCCAATTAGAAAATGATTCAGAAAGAAATTTGTGAAATTAAAAATCAAATGTTATTTCATTTAAAAACATGGACTTCTTCCACGAACAGGTACACTTGATTTGACAAAAGATAAAACAATGATCTTTTTAAAGTGCGCATTATGTGTAGGGATGTGCATTAATATGCAACAAAGGTTTTATGGTTAATAATATGTTAAATGAGGCAAACGTTCAATTTCCAGAATCTATTTTTAGACAAATTTTTATTTACATACAAAATTGTTCTAAATGAAAGCAAGATTTACCATTTAGGAATCAAATGTGCAAAAATTTTGCATTCAAATTCGGCAACATTTTTAAACAGTAAAACACAATATAAAAATTTAACTTTAGGTGTTTCTTATAGTCCAGGAACCGCTCTTTCAAATGGTAGGTACATCAGCGAACACTGAAAATTTAAAAATAAACGAATTGCAGTTAGTTAATTAAAAAAATATCGTGTTTTGAAAATTTAGATAAAGAAAGACTGATTTTAATGCCTATGAGTATATTTATCAATTTAACGTACTATTTTTAATATCGTATTATTTCCTAATATATAACCAACAGTGGTCTTCATCTTACCATATTCCAATGTCGTTTTTAAAAAATTCAAAATGTCGGATTGAAGATGGCGCAGGAAAAAGTTAAAATTTCATTGAATTCACTCAAAATGGTGAATCCAAGATGGCGGATGCAAAAGTAAGAACAAATATTAATTAAGAAAAGAACTTTAAAAATCTATATAATTTTTCAATTAACTAACTGCAATTTGTACTATAAGAAACACCTAATGTCAATTTTTTTTATTGCTTTCTATTGATTAAAAATATTGCCAAGTTTTAAGTAAAAAATTTTTGTACATTCGATTCTTAAAAGTTTAAATAGAAATTCACTTAATTGAAAAGTTGAGTCAAATAAAAATTCGGTTATATACAAATTTTATTAAGTAGAAATTTAAACCGGCGCGGCCCTAAATCATGCTCAGTAGAAATAATTAAACTTGTGATCATTATTATATGAGAAATATTAATAAACTTTAAAATTACAAATATTTTAAATTTTAATATCGTGTAATAATTGTTTTTGTGAATGATTTCTTCTACTCTAATCGGAAGCCAAAGTGTGCTTAAAATTGCATATTACATTTAAAAGGTATAAGTAACTTAGAATTGTCTTTCTGTAATTATATATATATAAATCTCACTAGCGGATCTTTGATTACTTTCCCACATAACACAACATATAGTAATAATATTGCACTGCAATATTGATTATTGAATATATTTGAGTCATTATTACATGACAATATTACTTCAACTTGAATTGTTTATGCTTACAGTCAATAATAATGTGTATCTATGGGAATATTGCCTAACTTGTACCTTGAGAGAGAGAGAGTTAAGTTAGAGGAAATTTTGTCCTATTATTTGATATTGCCATTATATGTTGAGATATTTGGGATCATTTAATTTTTAATAGATCTAAATATTCTATACAAAATGAGAAAATTGTCTTCTGAAAGAAATAATTCATTAATTTATATATTATTTTGTGATAAAACAAGCTCTTTTGAATTCGTTTAAAGTTTCATTTTATCTAAGTCAGCAGTCTATACTATCGGTCTACATAATTATTACAACTTCAAGACATAAATCTTCAGAATCACATATTTCGTAATTGTTAATTTTTCGTTAAACACATTATACCACATTTTTTTAGTTTTATAAAATCTATAAAAAAATTTGTAACAATAGCTTTGTTACTGTTTTTGTTTTAAATTGAGTAAAAAGTTTTCTTTTGATGCCAAATCGAATGAAGTGAAATAAAATACAACTTTACTATACTTAGGGTTTCGATACTGTTCTGATAATTTTTACGCAATTATGTAATTGTTGTCTATTATCGCAAAATTGAGGTGGAGGTGCAAATACTAGATCGGATGAAATTACAGTACATGACTCTTCTGCATTAAATCCTGGAGGTGGTGGAACAAAAAGATCGCTACTTTGATCTTCTGCTTCAGCTTCTATTGGCGGTGGGAGTTGTGTAAGACTAACAGCATGACGCGTGAGTATACCACTACTTCCGTGGTTAAATCTTTTAATACTGCAATTTTCTTTGTCGGATGATTTTTCATTTGCATGATGTCGAGTTTCACCTTTTCGTGTCGTATCATCAAATCCTGATGGAGGACCAACAGGTATGTCCTGATCTGAACTCACACCACTTGAACTATTATCTCCGTCTTCGGCAAAAGAATGTTTCGTCTAGGACAAAAAATAAGTAAAGTAAGAAATACCTAATCATTAACAAATAATAAATATATAAACAAAAAAAAAACGAAGATGATGCTGATCAAAATTGCTCTTCCTATCATTTTCTCTGTTCCATTACATAGGTATAACAAATCTTTTAGAGTGCTAAAGAAACTATTGTGAAATACTATATTAACCCACCTTGAGTTGTTTTTTTACATGTTGAATTTCTTCTATGCTAAATGAGTGTGGCAAAGATCCAGAATTATATGAATTATTACTTTCACTATCACCAGATGCATTAGAATGTTCAGATGTTTCTTTATCTGGTTCTATTTTTTCAGTAGGCGTAGTCTTATTTACTTCTTTTTTCTTATTAACTATATCAATTTTCTCTAAATTATTTTCTGCTTCATTTTCAGACTCACTGAGACTGTAGTCAGGCTCAGGTAGTGGTGGTACTGCATTTGCATTGTAGGACGAACTATCCATATTAGACAATAGATTCATTGCTGAAAAACTAGTGGTAACATTTTTATCCATTCTTTCTTTAAAACCTCCATTTTTATTATCATTTTTTACACTTTTTAAAGGTTGTGCGTATTGGTTAGTTTCTAATTTTGAAATTTTTCCATTGAAATTCATGTCGGATATACCATTACTGTTCTTTTTATTTATATTCTTTATAAATTTGAACGATGTACTTTCTTTTGAAACTCGCACACTATTAGGTTTTCTAATGTGCTGTTTCATTGATTGAGTGGATATGTATTGAGAGCGATATCCAACAGATTTTAAGTCTTTGGGAGACGCATATAATTTTGCACTGCTCAGTGGGCGGAAGCTTGACATGACACTTAACCTTCCGCTTTCAGTAGCAGCTGCCAGTTCTGCAAAGTAATAAATTAATTATTTTTTTATTATTCTACAATTATTGCAAATTAGTTTTTTAAGCATTAGAAATTTATTCGAAAAATATTTATTTTTTATCCCACAGGTATTAACAAACCCCTTCGATCAATTTTTAAAAATCTTTAGCCATATTATATATAATAGTTTAACTTTAAATACCTTTAACTTGTTGTATGTGAGCCATATTATCGTAAACAGATGCAGAATTATTTATATCGGATGCGTTAGAGGTGGTGTTTAAATTACTTAATTGATCAACTGGAGGAGGTGGTGGCGGATGACTTGGTGGTGGATATTTATTAAAAAATGTCATCATGGAGACATCTTCTTGGCTACGATGGCATTTTGGAGCCAGACAAGTTGATTGTGCCTGTATATTTAAATCTGGAGTACTGTGAAAATCTCGATGAAGATCCAAACTTTCTCTCAAGCCATTTAAAATGCAAAGTTCCGAATTTAACTGAAACTGAAATGATTTTTTATAGCCTGGGAATGAAAGTCCCCTTCAAAATGTAAGTATTTCGAGATTTCGCATATTCTCCAACTAATAGGTTCTTTCAGTATAAACTTAAGATGGTTAATTTAATTTACCTTAAGCTCTGCATTGGTCACACGTGTGGAAGATGGTCTTATTCTCAAACTCATACTTCTTGGTTGCATTAAAGTTGTCTGAAAGGCATTAGATCCAAGGAATGTTTGTTGCTGCAGATAAATTGAATCAATACTAGTTGATTTTAAATCGGAAGGAACAACATTATTCCGATTTTCTATTTCAATGCCACCTTCTAAAAAATAATTATCACATTTATGAACTTTGAACATTTTTATATATTCAATCAACTACTTTTTTGGCTGTTTTAATATTGAGTGCACAATAGACAAATATTTTTTGAGCAGTGCAAATATACATACAAGTTTGCACTGATGAAAAATTTTGTGCTAAGTTCTATCAACTTACGGTTAAAATCGTTTGATAATAACTTTATTATTCGTGTTCTTTTTGCATCACAAAATGTATTAAGATACAAACATAATTGTCTTACCTAAGCCAGCAACCATGGACCTTGCTCTTGCTCGTCCAATACTCAATGTAGTTTTAGGATCTCTTCTAGGTGGTAGTGGAGCAGGAGATCTGCCTAAAGTTCCACCGGCATTAATATTATTATTTCCTTTACGTGGTAAAGTAGCGTATTGTCTTTGAAAAGATTGACCAGTTAGTTTAGTTCTTGTTGAATGAGAACTCGAATGATTCATTATAGGAGAAATAACAGTCATTCTCACTAATTCTCTCGATTGTTGAATGAGTTCCACTACATGGTCATGAGAGGCGACAGTTACATCTTCTCCGTTAATCTAGAATAAACACAAGTACTTTATAATTAAATCTGTAATAGAAAGGCCTAATACGGTTAATAGACTTGTTTGAGAGTACCTTTATGATAAAATCGCCCTTTTTTAATCCAGCCAGGTCGGAGATTCCACCAAGATCAACATCTTCTAAATACTGTGAAGCTGGAAATTCAGCAGACGGTGCAAAACCAATTAATGCATGAGATTTTGCGCCTCGTAAAACAAAACCGAAACCCTTTTTGGAACGATGTAGTATAACTGTTCGAGCTTGAGCTGGGACTCTAAAAAAATTTTATCAAATAATACACAAATTATAATTCATTATAATTTCACTGCACATATAAGCAGTAGTTAAAATTCAACTCCTTTTTGGCGTCGAATATTTAATCATAAATTTTTACTCTCTACTTTGATTACTGTTTGCTTCCTATATTTTTTCAGTGCACCCAAAAAGCACTATAAATAACACATGATGTCACAGTCTGAAAAAAATTATTAATAATAATGATGTCATGCAATGAATTTTCAATTTAATCTACTTCTCATTCTCAGTGAACTAATACAGATCGTTGTTCTTTAGAAAACATCACTGTCGAGGTAGCAAACTTTATTAATAATTTCAGCCAACAAGTCGAAAAACTTCAGCAACACCACTTCATTGCCAAAGTCAAAGAATCTTTTTGAAAAACTTTTTAAAACGAAAAATAACGCCAAGCTAAAAATTGCAGGAAAGTTTTATTAAATTATTCCTGATTTTTTTAAGACCTGAGAAACAGTGAGAAAGAGTTTAAATATTGAAAATAAATAGCGGACGCCCCAAAATACGTGGAGTAGTGTACTTTCTTTGTTGCCGATGTGGGGCTAAGTTATACAGGCACTTTACACCAGGGAGTATACTTACGATTTTTTTAATCTTGGAGCAGTGGCAAAGTATATTTGTGGCGTCTCTCTCCTCCCAATAACTCTAGTACAATTATCTCGAACTAATGGAAGACCAGTGGTGATGCTTGAGTTGCGTAATTTAACTTCTTCAACACAATGTGCAGGGAATAATCCCATACCCTGATCTCTAAGAATACCCTCTAATAATCCACAATCAGTAGCTCCTGTCACTGAAAAATGAATGTTATTTGATTCATTTAACAATTCCTTATGACAAGTGACTACCCTCAGAGTACAGGATCTTGTTGTAAGTTTGTAGTATGAAGTAATGGTGTTGATAAAAAGACACCGCCGTATGGTTCTAACTAATGGGATTTTCTGATTAGTCCGCATACCACCAGGACCCTTGCCGGATCTTGGTAAATTATCTCAGGGTCTACCATACAAGTACACCGTAAGCATAAAAACTTTACGTTTAATCTATACTACATTCTTACAACAACATATTTCTCATTTTTTGTTCAATATATTTCTTTCGTTTAGGAAGGACAATTTTTAATGGTAGTAAACCTAGCTGAACAAAATGGAATAACTTAGCATAAGCATAGGAAAATTAACGTCTGGAAGACACCATAAAGAAAAAATAAAAGATGTCTTTCAGACATTACATGACTGGTCCAAAAGATCCAAATAAGTGAAGAAATTATGTAAAAATAAATACCTTCTAATAAATCTCCTTCACTAATACTTAAATGTCCAGGAATTGCACTGCAATAACTTTCAACACATACAACTGTAGACCCAGGTATAGTCGATGAATTTGTATCGGATTGTGAAGTCCCAAATCCAGAACTATCGCTTATTACATCAGATGCAGTATCTCCTATACTTTTATCTGCAATAATCATTTTTTTTTTTATTTAAATAATAACGTAGAAATGTTATACTCCCCACATATTCGGATATTTAACTTATTTCATATTTTAAACCAAATAACTTTTGTTTTACGCATAAAATTAAGTGTTTTGAATATGTATGGGGACAAAAGAAAATTTATTATCTTGTCATTTGGTGGTAATTTAATTATTCGCACAATGTGCCTTCACTAAATCAAGCAGATGCGTCCTCATGTGTACACGTGACGACAAAATGCATGTTTTAAATTTAGGTAACTTTTTTTCTATTAAAATTAAATTAAAGAGATGAATATATTATTTGTACTAAATAAAAGATATCATAGGATAAAGTGCTGATAGATTTCCCGCACGGATAGATATCCCCTTTATTAGATTATTTTTTAAATTTGCAACAAAAAATTGACTCAAGATTGTCTAAGATAGCAAAATGTCTACTGTATATGTTTAGCTTTCCGTGAAAGATTGTAAGCTTGCGATGACAGGTTCCTGAAATTTTTACATGATTATAATTTTACATGATTTACAAGATTCTAAGGAATTATTGATGTTAGCTGATTACGCAGGGTTTCAAGTGACACGTGACACGCTCGAAGTGCATCACTAGACAGAACCCCGATGATGTAACTCGGACGGTGAAATACGGTGGCTTGGGATTACAGAGGTTAAGCATCGTTGAGTGCGGTTATTAATTGACGCTGCGGAACGCTATAGCCTCTGGTGTTTTTCACTGCGATCGAGATATATCAAGTGGGAGGTATCACGTCTACGCTAATTTGTACAGTTCTGATGACTATCTAAACATTCATACATGACTTGAGAGTCTCAATAACCCGGTTGTACCAAAGAGAAGGTTTTCCTCTCCCCTGGACAAATATCCAGATAATTTTACCGTTTATTTTTTGTAAAAATATTACGTAACAATGACGATTGTGTTATGGTTTTCTGTAGTTCATCGAGAGCCGGATAGGTTACCTACCTATGGCGTCGGGGAAGTTCCCTAAAATGGATCTCTGGTATTATTATAAATTTTTCTCTTTGTTATAATTCAGCTTACAAACAATCAAGATTTTAATGAAACTGTTTTCACTATGAAGGGTTAAGTAGGAAAAGGTAAATTAAGCTAGAGAAACAGAGGAAAACTGCGTAGTCGCAAACTTAACTATTCCTCTGTTTCCCCAGTTTAATTTATCCTTCCCTACTTTACCCTCTACGATGTATATTCAGGTTCAATAATGTAAACGTTAACCATATCTGTATGACCAAGAAAGGCGTCAATGTGTAGCCTAATACAGAGCGGTAAAAATGAGAATAACGGCGTTAAAACTAGGGTCACGTTACCAATTTCTGCACGGAGTATTAAAATAAATCCTATTCCTATTTTTTATTTCATCACGAAACAAATCATCAAAAATAGGTGTCGTTTTCTGTCTCTAGAGTAGTGTTACCCCTTAATAACCGAGAAATAGTTCTTTTCTCATTTCTACTGCTCTGACCAGGTCATCATATATCGTCGAAAAAGTTATGGACATTTCTTCAGATACAAATTTTTGTGCTGTAAGGGGAATATTCAAAAAGGAAGAAAATCTCCACGAGGAAACAAGGTATTTATGAAATTGACATAGAAATTTCTACTTCAACTTGTCTGCGGTTTATAACTATTTATTTTAATTAGTATTAATTATAATTAAAATTTTACTAATAAATAAAAATTATTATATACAATAAGATATTGTAATCTATTTGGAGCAATGTAATCTAGATGGTACAGTTCTTTTGCTGATTCTCAGGAAGCATATTTAAAAAAAAAAAGATTACCTGTGACAATGCTGACCGAGTCCTCACCAGAAGGTAAATTGCTTCCTTCAGATAGACTGGAACTTGCTGAACTAAAATGTGTCAGACTTCTACTGCTTGGACAAGGTGAAGGAGGCATGTCTGTTGTTTTGAGAATGTCAAAACGATGTTGTAACTCTATTCGATGATCCTCTGATCTTGGTATTCCTTCTATCCTTAAGTTTTGATAATGCTCATCATATGTCGATCTTAAAAGGGGTTTTTTCGAATTGTTTAAAAGCTCAAATTCTTTTTACCGTTCATGCGCATTGTGATGGGCAAGAGACAACATATTTTTCTAAACATTGTAATATGAGAACTCGATGATTTGTGAAATAAATTAATTGGTAAAAGCCGTTTCAAATTGTTATTAAGCTAACATTCCACTGTAGTTTTGGCATCAAGCTCACTTTACTCAATTGTAATGTTTCAATGAACGTTTCATGATTAGAGTTCACAATAAATATTAAAAATGTTAGTGTCTTGAAGTATACAAAAGCTGAAAGCGAATAGGAATGCGAAATAAGTGAAATGTATCAGTCGCTAATGCATTTACTATATGAATGACCGGGCATTAAACGATACCTAAAAGTTCCACAAAGACGTCCCGTAAAAAGTTACTAGTCTTTATTATTTTGAGAATAATATGAAATAAATGGTCACTTTCTTGTGGTTATTAAATTTGTGGTTTCTTTCGATTATAATTCCCTAACTCCATATATTTTGATGCACTGAACACGCATTCGAAGTCAAATTTGGTCCATCACGTCAGGATTCTTTTCTAGCTACAAAAAACTAATGTGTCCGACGACGAGTTGACATTATCCTCGTCAAAGTCGGAAAGCTCTCATACTTAGACCTAAAGAGGAATGACTGTTATCACCCCTAGGTGATAACAATTATAAAATTTTAAACGATTCAAAAGTTCATTTTGTTGTATTAACTTCACAACATACATGTGACAGCAATGCAGATGCATTTTGTATCATATTAAATTAAATAAAACCTGTCAGCTCGTCAGATCAACGATTTACTTCTCTTTTCAGCCTCTAATACCTATTGCGAAAAAATCCATTTCTGCAGTTTTTAGGTTCAAAAGAGGATTCAGAAGTGTTAAAGAGGCTTGAAAGAGGTTAAAAAGGGGTTTTTGGAGAACTAAAAGAGATTTCAAATTTTGACTCGGGGAGTTAATAATACGATTACAAACTTTCAAAAATTGGGGTACTTGATAAAGTTTGAAGCTCTATTTTCCACATTTACATCTAAGTTATACTTTCCCAATAATTTAGGAGAAAATAGTGAGGAACAAGGGAAACGATTTCATCCGCTTTATTTGATCTGCTATTTTCAATTTTTAAAATCTGACTGCATATTCGTAATCAGCTACCTAAAAAACTTCCGAGCAATGAGTTTCAAGTAAATTGAACAAATTTGTATATTACAAAAAATCTGACATGTTTCTTGAGGTTAGTAAAAAATTCTGACGTGATGGACAAATTTAACCTCGGTATTCCTGTTCGGTCCACCAAAAATAATTATTTCATTCAAAAAAATTGTTAGACTTATTGCTAATGATTCGGGATACTTGAGGATTGATGTCCTACGGATCTGCTCAAAACCTTCTTAAAATATCCTCATACTTGGAACTAAGATGGTTTTTTTTTTTGAACTGTACTACTGAAAATAAGTTGTAAAATTTTAAATAAGTTTTAATTTTACAAAAACCGGGATTACTGTATTTAAAATAAAATTACTTTGAAAATGAACATTTTTCGGGGTTTTTTTTGTTGTTGCCTCTTGCAGATTTTCAAATACTATTTAGACTTACCTGACATTATGGTCCCAGAGAGAATTAAACTTTTTAATTTTGGACGGTAGCTTATTTAGAGTACATTGCGATTGCTGTGAATATTGCACGTATTCATGTTCATGTACTTTGTTTAAAGCTTCTGTACTAGGATAATGTTCGGACGATTGTTTTGGAGGCGTAAAGCATTCCTTTGTACTGGAATCCATAGTTGAATATTTGTTTAGGTTACTGTAGTGTGATTCAGACATCAAAGCACCTGTATGTTGCTGTGTGGACGGAACTTGAATTCGTGTACCAGAATGTTTTTTAATGGACGGAGCTCTAGTTAATGACTTTGAAGAATATTGTTGTTCCGTGGATATGTCTCCAGATGGATATTGATCAACAGAAATGGTTCTGGTGAGCTTATTTTCTCCTGAAGATGAGGACGAAGAGAACGAAACGTGTTGTTGAATGTACGGTATTCTTGTGAGAGTGCCCAAATTGTTAGCAGAACAGCTTGTAGTTAGACCACCGAGTACCACTGAACGTCGATTAGGATTGTAGCGTGGTGGTCCTTTAAATGGTACTGGAAAATTTGAGGTTGCAAGGTTAAGTAAAGAAACTGTTACTTAGCCTTACAAAAAGATTTTTCAAAAATAAAAATTATGGGGAATACATATTTTTAACTTGTAGTTACTAAATACTGGATATACAGTAGTCAATGATGACTTTAACTTAAATTCTTTGTAAAATAATAATAATATTTTGAAGATAGTACTTAGACTTGTTAATTACATCCAGTTGATATTTTTATTATTATTATTTCAATCTACGCGTAACTGACTATCTCTGTAATAAAGTTTGTAGTATACCCATCCTTCTTTACAACAGTGATTACTTGAAAAGTTACAGGATCAATATTATGTACAAATAAAAATTCTTTAATAAATGTTAAATTGTAAAAATTGAATTTTTCTTCATAATCTCATGCACTTTACTTAATATTGGACCACTGTACAGCTAGAGCCGCGGTGGTTGCCCAGTCAACAGTTGGGTTAATTCCAACTCCAAGAGTGGCACCAATAACATTAATTTAACCTTTCATACAGAATTAAGTATAATTTATTAAATTATTTATATTTTATTGTATTACTACATTATTTCTTTTTTAATTTCTTTTTTAAAACTAACAATGAGTTTTCTAGGAGTATAACTAATGTCTCAAGTTTTGTATATTAAAAATAAATAGTTTTAAAAGTTCTGAGGTTTATAAAAAATGTTTATAAACCTTATTTATTGTATATAGTTATTCAATAATTTCTACCTAATGTGTTTATTACTGTTCGCACGCATTTCAACGCAAATCGGACGCATACATATCAAAGAGGTTATTCGACAATACGAAAATGGTAGAAATATTACCAAAAAAATTTTATTTTAACCATAAATATTTTCCCTAAACACTAAAATGATTTTCCGTATAATTTTCGAGAAAATTTAAGTTAGTATTTTATATGTGGGATCTTATGAGAGGGACGATTAAAATCGGATAAATTTTAATAAAAGTTTATTAAATAAGGTACAAGTGTTGAAAAAACATTAAATTGTAAAGTAGAATCATTATTGATTATAAATCTTTAATATTTTATATTGACCGCACGGTTTAATAATAAATTGATGAGAAAAAGACAAAAATCATGCATTTTGTCATCAGTTTTTACGCCGCGATTTCAATATTGTCGTAGCAATGAATAACAAAAAAAATATATAATTCTACTCTTTACTACTGAATCTATCTTGTGAGCTTACTGTGAACTTATTAAATTAGGTTACAGTAAGCTTTTAATATATTATCAATAAGTAAATTTGAAAACGTTTCCAAAAATTGTTTCTAGTTTTGTCTCAAACTTTGCCAAAGTCTTCCAAAATTTTAAAAATTCAAAAAAATTGATTCTAGCCTTCGCACATACTTTTACAGACTCTACCCATACTTTAAAAATTGAAAAAAATTAAAACTTTTTTAAAAATAGATTCTAGCCTTTGCATACTTTAGACTCTTTCCATACTTTATAAAATGGAGAAAATTAGAAAAAGATACTGAAAAAAATGGGAAAAATTGATTCTAGCTGTTGCCCATAATTTCCTTATACCTATATTTTTTATGTTAATATTATTGTAAAGTAATAGTTTATTCTACATGGGGTGAACGATATATGTATGTAATGACGGACACTTATGCCCAACTATATGTTTGAAGCATTTTACGTGAAATGCCTTACCTTTAACCTTCTTTAAATAATTAAGTTGTTACCTATCTGTCTGGTTACATATTTTTCTCCTTTTCATTTAATATAGTTACAATACTGTGTGCTAACGACGAAATATTAAATTGATTCCAAATAATTAATGGGAAGTAAAAAAAAAGTACTTACCTACTTCCTCCTGTCCATAATTTTTAATAACTTCAGCCAACTCCAAGTTTCCTGCGATTACTGCCACTTGATAGGGTGTCTGATTTGCGAAATTTAAGCTATCCTTTTGGGCACCACGAAATAAAAGTTGACGGATACATGAAGAGTCAGTATTATTAACGGCACACACATGAAGCGGTGTATTGCCGGATGCATTGCGAGCATTCATATCTGCTCCGTAGAAAAGTAAATGGTCTAAATGTTGAACTAAGTTATTCCTACAAGCCTGAAAATAAGACGGTCTATAATTAATATTAATTTATTTTTTAAATTTATTTTCAAAGTGTACTGATCGCAGAAAACAGGAAATTTGTTTTTCTACAAGTTAGAATTAATAATTTTAGATAAACTTACTTGATGTACTTCTTGCCAACCTTGTAAATCTTGGGCACCGAGTGAAGCGTGATCGTGAAGAAGGGCTTCACAAAGCATGGGATCAGTTTTATATGTCACACTGTAATATAAAGGAGTTAAGGCTTTGCTGTCTTTATAATTAGGACTTGCCCCTAGCTCGAGGAGTGTTTTAACAGCCTCAAGATTATTTCTTTCTACAGCTCGATGCATTGCCGTTAAACCCTCTTTAGTTCGATAATCTAATATTGCCCCACCATTTACTAAAGCAATAATTACACTTGCCGATTTCTTCAAAGTCGAGGCAAATGTCAATGGTGTTTCTGGAGAAAAATTTAATAAAGTTATATTGGGAATAATACAGGCAGAGATTTCAATGACACATGATAAAAGTGTTTCTTTCTTACCTCCTGTTTCCGGACAATGAAAATTTGGATCTAGACCTTTATTACACATTCTTGAAATTTTATCAATTTGGCTATTTATAACATGTTCTAAAAACTTTTTTAGATTTGTTTTATTATGCATTGCTTTCAATTGTTTTTCATCAAGATTCAACATTTTGTAGATCCTCTTTTTGTACTTAAGCTGAAAAAATAAAAATTCATTAATATTTAAATATGTTTACTATTTAATGGTTATCATATTTCTTGTTACGTAATGTAAGACCTACTTCTAAGTATCCAACTGGACCATTGAAAGGATAATCTCCAAGACGACGTTCTTCATCTAAGAACTTCCCAGCCTTTCCATTCGTAGGTGGGCAAAACAATCCATAATTAAAACTTTCTTTTAATTCCTGTAAAAAAATGTGTACAGTAAATTAATCAAATCTAAAGAAATTAGATAATAATAATTAACCCCTTCACTGGCAGGAACCCCATTTGGAACGCCTTGCCAGTGAAGGGATTAATGAAATAATTTTAAATTTTGTATCATGGAATTCAATTATAATCCACATTCAAGCGATTTCCTTGGGTTTCGCCGAAACTCTAAATCTTGATTTAAACAATTGGCACTGATAAAATTTATTTGATTATTAAAAGCAAATTTCTTTTAAATGGTGGCCAAACACAAACTCAAAAATAAAATGAATTTTTGAGTTGTATCGAGTCATTGAATACTTATTTTTTGTAAAAGAAATTGTATAATATTCGAGAGAGAAGAATTTTACTTCTCAGGTTGTTGCAAAATTAAGCAACAACACAGTTGTATTTATTTATTTCACTAGTTATTTTTTAATCTGTAAGGTAAAAAGATCAGTTGATGCGAAAATGCGAATCTTCTTTGAATTTGCCCAGCGTTACATTAAAGGATGTCGAGAAATCGAATTGCATCGTAATTCGTCATACTGCCTTCCTAAATTTTAGCACCAGTGAATATGGGGAAACATCAACTAAATATCGTGAAATAATTTAATAAAAATCAAAACAGTTATAAATTTTGGAAGAAAGAAAATTGTTTTTAGAGTTGGTCTAATACTGAAACACAAGGGCATTTTTGACTAATTCGAAAAATGTTAACGTTTTTCTATATAGATTCCTTAAAAATTTTACCATAATTATGCTCATATTATATTATCATTCTTGATGTATTTGCAGCATTTTAAGAATTTTTACAATACATTACTGCATGTAATGCAGAAGTAATGTATGAGGGAGAAGTACACTTTCATAAAACTCATCATAATTATTACAAATACTTTTTCAAAAACTAATAAATATAATATACGAATAAAATTAGAACCAAAATATACAAAAAAATGTATAGTTTACAGTCTCGTTTTTCAATAATTATAAATTGAAACTTTTATTTCATAACGTGATTTACAACATATCTCACACCTGTCAATTTAATGCGATAACATCGTAGGACGGTAACACTAGTTACAGAGAGGGGGAAAACAGTAGAAAAAGCATCAATGCATGCAATGTAGATATTTGAAAATATTTAGTATTATGACAATTATAAAATAACAAATAATATCGTAATAAACTTTAAATAATATGTAATAATAATATAATAAAATACCCTGGTTAAAAATTCGGATTGATTTCGGACTAATATAAAATTTGTCCGAAACAGTGCGGTTTTCGTCATACGTAATTATAGTCTGGATAAATTGGGCAGGTTTAACTGGTGAATACGCGACTATTACGAATTAGAAAATAATAGTTGAATTTTTCTATTTTTAAAGTTTAGAACAAAAGGACCTCTTTCAGGCATCTTAAAGACATCCAAGACATAGAACATTTTTAGGATGTCCGTAGCTAGTACGAAACAATCCAATTTATAGTTGGGTTTTCTCATCCGGAATCAGTCCGCATAAATCCGAACTCAATGATTTTAGAATTAAATTTTAAATTGAAATTCTTATTTGACTTAATGTATGTTAGAAAAACTCTGTAACCAAAGACATTTTAATCCGGAATTAGTCTGAAATTTTTACCAGGGTATATACCGTCAGAGCTACTGCGATATCGTTTATCTGTAAATTCTTAAAAATGTTTATTGTATAGCGAATTTGCAGATGAACGATATTGCTGCTAGTATTGGATATACACTGAAACCCCACTTATTTGAACATGGTCCACGCAATTCGATACGATGTGTCGCGTTTATTTGTATTTTGGTAGGCATAACTTATGTTGGTGACGTAATTCGATAAATTGACATGATTGGTTGGTTTTGTTTGAACCAATGGGAATGTAAGTGGGGTTAAGGTACTCTCTCACCTCTACTGCCTGCCTGCCTGCGCAGGCAGGCGCAATGAGAGTGAGAGAGAAAAAACATTTAATTTGAATTTTCTGACTCTCTTACTCTTATGTGTTACCATGACAACCTGCAGGCAGGTAGGCAGGCAGTAGAGCTGTGCGAGCGCCTTTAGACCTCTGCAGGCTAGAAGGCAGAAGATCGTTCACACCTCACTTTTCTCGTTGAAAAATGAGGGAAGATTTAAATATCTATTAAAATTCAAAATAACTGAAGCAAAAACGGTTCAATGTTCAAATAAACGCGACTTTAAATAAGTGGGGTTTCAGTGTACTTGTATGCGTGTATTTGTAGTAGGGGGTACAAGTTGGGATGAAAGTTTAGAGAGTGGAAGAGTGAATAAGTATAGTGCGCTAAATAGTAATACGAGGCTGCAAACTTTTTACTCCGATTACAGCCCATGTGATACATTAAGTGTATCCTTTTCTAATTAATGGTGATAGAACTGCGGAAACTTCAATTCGTATAATCAACCCCCAGTAAGCGGGATTCAGATAAATTCAACCAAAAGTTAATTCATTTCAATTCAGATTCATTACTTTTTTTACTAGGTAGAGACTGTCAAGTAAGTTCTAGCAAAAAAAAAAATGATTGAATCTCTGGATTTTACTCATTGGCGTTGCACCCATCCATTGCGTAATCGTGAAAATTACGGATTAGGTTGCATGGTGTATGCATTAACCTCTCAATTTGAATCTGTCGTCTATTTTCACTGGTTTATTAAAATAAATCCATTAATAAAAACACAAATAATCCTAGTGACATCCCAGGGATACTTTTTTACTGATTAACTGTAAATTTTATCTAGAGAATTCTATTTCCATATTAAAACTTAATGTTGCATGATATTAGTTTATTAAAACATACCCTGAACCAAGTAGCCACCTGTGAAGTCCATAACAGAATAAAGGTTGTTGACAACATCCAGTTTTTAACGTAGTTATGTACCAAGAAAAAGAAGTTGCAGAATACACCATTAATCATACAGGAACATATACAGTCACATGAAGTTGATTGAGATGATGTAATTCAAAGTGGTCCGCAGAGGATTGAAAATAAAGTATAAATAAAAGCATAATAACAATACCTTAGACAAAAAAAGGAATTAAAATAAAAACAAACATTAAGGTGTCTAATGTTATAAAAAGTAATCTGTACTTTATAAATAATTTAATTTATTAAAAAATTAAATAAAAAAAATTACACTCTAAATGTGAATCAATGAAAATTTCACTTATTTCAATTCAGTGGACGAGGTTTCTTTGAAGAAACAGTGGAATAATCACTGTTAAAGAAAACTCATCCACTGAAATCATCTATCTTGGCAGTCAACATTGATCCAATATTGGCCGTCAATGCTTGGCAAAGTCATAATCATTCCACGACTTTAACAATAGTGATCCAATTTTAGCTGCTTTGGAGCATGGCCCTGATGCTTTCATGTTGTCCTTTCGGTCTGACGGAATTTTGAAAAGTCGTGTCATTTCTGTCAAAATGTGTTTAGTTCATGACATAAATTTTTCACTTTTCAAAATTCCTTCAAACCGGAAGGACAGCAATTAAATCATCATGTTAGTTGCAGTTAAGGCTGGTGTATAAATCTTGTTACAGGAAAACTGCTGATATTTAATTTTTTTTATAATTACAACAAAAAAAGTATTTGTCATGTGTATATATAGTTTTCGAAATAGATAGGGCATAATATTTAAAATTTTTGAAGAAAAGGCGGTTACAGATTTTTAATAAATTTAGAACTGCATTGTTGATAAGTGGAACCCTCTTAATGTTTCGGTAATACCGAAGCGATACCCATGATGCAAACACTGTGCAACCATCACTCGTAAATAACAGTTCATTGCTATTTTCGTTAGACGATGATAATAATAAAAAGTTAGTACCCAGTATAAAAATAAAAGACATCATCACAGAAAAAAGGTGGTATAAATTTTGTTGCGGTCCCTCACTTAGGAGAAAATTTGTTGCAGGAAATTTTGACCTCAAAATCAGGTTAAAATTTATACTTTTTTTCTTGTGATATATTGATATATTAGTGTCCTAATGATTAGAAATGATTTAAGGCTGGAACATGTGTTAAAAATAAATAATCTTATATATCTTAAATTTCAACTCTATTTTTATATAAAAATCATGATCAACGTTAAAGAGTCTAGGAGTGATGTCTTTCTCTATTATGAATTCTTTAGGATAACTATTAATTTTAATTTCTTCATAAAAGTATTTTCTGTTAAATTTAATGTCTCAATTAAAGAGTTGCACAATTTAAAAAATTAATAATTGATTATTACATACGTGATATGAAGAACCGCTCATTTTTGTTAATTTAAATCACTCTTTGAGAAGTGCAGGTTTACGTGACAACCGCGATTAATTCTATTTCATGTTAATACTACTGCGCAGGTGTAAATGCCTTAGAAAACTATTGCGCAGCCACTAAATTTTTTACTTTTTATTACACTTAGGCATAAATGAACGTGTGCATGTGCAGGAACGTGAATTTAAATATTGTTAAACTAAAATGTGGCTGAACATGCACAAGTTTATGTACGTGAACTTGTACAAGGTACATGCGCCAGAAACACTCACATTGTCATGTGCGTTAATTTTCAATTGGGGGCGTAGTGGATCAAAAAGTACAATTATGATTTAGAAGTTCAAAACGAAATTCTTAAAAAAAATTTATTGATATTTTTGGAAATGATTTTTAAATCAATATTAATTGCTTTTACAGTAATCGCAAGTAAAAAAAAGTATAAACTTTTGAACATGACCCAATACGTCCCAGTGAAAGGTGAGTGCCGAAAACAGTCATGGAGAGGTTAAAACCTAACCTCTAATTTCATTAGTTGAAACTTCTATGACGGATGCCTTGAAATATTTACACATCGAGTTTAAAATCATCGATATTTATGTTTAATATCTGACTTTATAACACCTAATATTTGAGTATATTAAAGATTAATGACACAAAACCACTGTAAAAAATTGTCAAAATTACAACAAATTTTGATACTGAACCTTAATTTCTTTTATTGTAATACCTAACACGGGGTGAACACCGAAAACAGCCAAGAGGTTTTCGACGTTCTCGCGCTGGCAATGCTCTGAAAATGGCAAAAATGTCAAACGTGGTTGGTTAGTTATAGTGAATTAGTGAATATTGTTTGGTTAAAGCTCTAAATTGATAGTATTTGTGCTCGGTCATTTGAAATCAAGCATCAAATGAAAACACGAAAACTGTTAATTTAGAGTTTAGCGTAAGATAAATTACCTAGATCCGGCAAGGATCCTGGACGCACGTTGACTAACTAGAAAATTCCATTAGTGAGAAAAGGATAGATGTATCTTCGTCCGACGAAGATACATCTATCCTTTTCTCACTAATGGGATTTTCTAGTTAGTCTACGTGCCACTAGGACCATTGCAGGATCTAGGTAAATTATCTTAGGTTCAGCCAATCAAAATTCACTCACTAACCAACCACGTTTGCTATTTTCAGAGTACTGCCAACGTGAACGTCGAAAACACTCTAGATTATAATTATTGCAAGAATGTAGAGAGTGAGAGGGAATATTATCGAGTACCTCTGGTACGCAATTCGAATTATTCGATCAAAAAGGGAACATACCTGGATTTCCGCACGCAATTAGAAAGTCTAGAGATCCACTTTTTCATTATTATAATATACAGTAATAAAAGATATCATGTCAGTAGTCATAGCCCATGAGTAGGAGTGAATCTGACATGATAGCTTTTCTTACTTGTTCTTTACTTGTTTATTTACCAACCTTGTTGGTTCAATTTTTTATAATTTAATTCAATAATTAATTTTAAAAGTAATTTAAAATTTAATTTTATAATCAATTATATATGATAATTATAATTCCATGTGAGGTATACAGAATCACGTGTTCATGAAACATTAATTTTTATCTACAGAGGCGCTACTCGCGCAAAGTGTAGATCGTTGCCGGAAAAGTGGGACAGCTGTTACCTTATACAATAAGTTGTAGAAATTTTACTTTTACCACTATTTGTTTTTTGAAATTTATATTCAAAATTGCTTTTTATCTGATATATATGAATAAATTAAAATTTAATTTATCAAAACTTTCAAGCTAGTGTAGAAACTAATAAACTTGGTCTCAATTTGGGATGTAACACCTTCCTTGATGAAGACCAAGTCCCAAGTTAGGAATTAGATCAAAATTTCTATACAAGAGCCATCCATCCCAATAAAAAAAATAATTTGTGACTAATAATCTTATGTTAAACTTTAAATTAACTTGAGAACTAATAGTAGATTTGAACTTTAAACCGTTAACGCACCAGCGGGTGAAAAATTACCATTAACTTTGATCATTTTTATCTGAAAATTAAATTAGAAAAATTTTGCATATAACATTTCTGACGTAAAATTTGTAGCTCTTTCATATACTGTTGTTACAATTAGTTTATAACAAACATAAAAAGTGTTAAACAATTTTTTTCAAAAGAACACGGATTCACTATATTGGGATTTTTAAAACTAACCTCAGATTTGTAATCAACGACTCCGAAAACCCCCGAGTAACGTGTTTCAAGTTAATTCGACTGTTTTTCAAAAATTCGACCTCCACATTGGATCCGCCATTTTGAATAGCCCTATTTAAAGTGCACCTTTAGGTTTTGGTAACAAGGTTTTGCACCTTGTTACCACCAATTATTTTAACTTACTCACAATTATTTTTCTTACTGGGATCCAGACTAATGACAATTAGAAAGCAGTATTTTCAACCAGTTGAGCAATTTTTTCTAAAATCTAGTAAAGAGAATATAATTATACATGCCTTTGGTAACGATGCAAGACATTGTTGCTTTACGTCCCACACAAACTGATCTCTTGAGAATTGAAGACATTTACTTATACATAGTTCAGGAACATGTATTCTAGTTATTAAGAATCTCTCGTGGTCTAAATCTGAATTACGTGTTTCATCTTGATCGACTGAAGAATTACTTATTTCAATTTGTTCGACTCCAGAAGTGACAATAGACTTAAAGTTTACCTCCATTTCAAATATATTAATAAATAAAAATGCTAGACTTTTATTGTTGGACTTAGATCTGCAATTAAAAATGTTTAATTATATGCAATACTTAGTTTATATATAAAATATGAAAATATAACAAGTTTACATGGAGAAACTTTTCACACCACTAATTCATAAAACTGATTTGACATATTTTAGTATGTTGCAGTTTCATTCTATGGAAAAGTGACACAAAAATGGTTTAATTTCACAAGTAAAAACTGACATATTCTTTTGTAATGAAAAATAAAACTATTTCTAATGCAGACACCAATTTTTATACACTGAAGGTTACTTAATATATAAACAATTTATTATATGTCCGTATTGACACAATGCACTGAAAATCCCAACATTCTAAAGAACTTTTAGAATAAAGATAACCAAATATATTGAATATTAGAAGAAAAAGTTTCTCCGCGTAGTGATTCAACAGATAAAATAATAATGACGATAGTGATTGAATTGATGTTTCTCCAAAAGACATTAACAATCAGTATGATAAGGTTGTTAGTCCAGAAGATAATGTACATGCTAATAGTAATATTGATACGGTAAATAGTAATATGGTCCTAAAGATAACAGTGTTGATTTTAGTTTCATCAATAATGTTAAGATTGACAGAACCATTTTAATGTATCACATTTTATGCTTCTAGTTGTAAATTAAGAACTATTCTATTTTAATATATATTTTCATAATTATTGCGTTAAAAAAATCGAATCCAATTAATAGCATTGACACTATTGAACTAATAGTTTTTCTTCTCACAAGTAAACCTACTCAAGTGTCAGTGACCGATTTGACTGAAACTTGGCACATGCTTAGAATTCGGAAAAATAAAAAAAAACGTATTTTTTGTTATCAGCAAAGAAGACGATTTAAGGGTTTGAATTTTGTAAATCTGACCTCAAGTTCATAATCAGCGACCTCAAAAACCCCCGAGTAACAAGTTTCAAGTAATTTTAAGTAAATTTAAAAACCTGAAACTTTAACCTTTTCTTGTAATTTTAGGGGTTTTTAGCAAGAAAAATGGGTATTTTCAACTCTTAAATCGTCTTCTTAGGGATCTGAAATACTGCGATACGCATTCTGGTGGCAAAATATTTAACTAATGCATACAATAAATAATATTGCTCAATTAAAGGAAATGAATTTATCATTCGGTAATTAATATTAAAAGTGAAAGAAGTTAACAATTTTTCCGAATCATTCTCTTTCTAAGTAACTTACTGACTAACTTACTAATTAAGAGGTTACATGGGTCAAAACGACCGCAGAAAACGTATGATTTTTTAATAATTTTTTTTCTTAAAATTTCTGTTAGTGGGTGAATATATCTCGTGATTGAACGAAGGGATTTTAAAGTAATTGAAATTTGTATTTTTGAAAGTGTCTTTTGTCAAAAGTTACAATTTTAATAACCATTAAGACCATGTAAAATCGGTTCTAATCAACAAAATAAATTATCCTTCTTTCAATCACGAGCTATACTCATCCATTAACGGAAAATATTCGGTTTTTAGATTTTCGATGAACCGGTCAGAAGATAAATCGTGACCACCGCTTTTTTGGGAGGGTTCTCAAAGAACCTGTTGGTACGGGCCACACATTTTTAAATTTTTTATTTCGAATTTTTTATTATAACTCGTGTAGCCATTGCAGTTTTACTGAATACACTTACAGTAGGTGACATTATATAATTAATAAACTCTCCAAAATTAAAAAGGATCATCTTACCCTAATGGATCATCTCATACACGCATCTATCCCTATTACTGTTCGCAAACTGGATCATCGCAATATCTTTAATCCCCTCCCCAAGTACATTATTACATAAAATTTTATATTATTATTATTTATATTGAGCACACTAATTACTGACAGTATACTAAAGTTTATGGAAATATTAAAGCTTTTACATTTTTAAGATAAAAAAGGCACTTTAACAAATTTGCCCCCTATATATTGTTTTGTATTATTTTCTGAAAGTTGGATTTTCACTGTTTATAATTATCAGTAAAAATCAATATACACAGTAAGTTACTTTTTTTATTTTATAATGCTTCTGAAAATATTACGGCTATATTTTCCTCGGTACTACCCTATACAAAAACCATAATGTTTAAAGCAAAGTTTCTGAATATATAACTGTCAATAATATGAGTATTTTTAACAAATATATATTTATAGAGTACATGTGTCGTTTGTGGGCACAGCCAGTTTTATAATATTTCCTTTGATATCTTATATGTGATATTAATAAAATATATGCCATAATTGGTATTTTTTACTAAAAATTATAATTAAATAAACACTGAAATCAGCTACAACGTGTATATAATAATTTTCATGCCAAGAAACTATTATGACTAAAACTGGCTTATAGTAGGTATATAGTAAAAAATGGTCCATCCATCCTACACCCCTTGGTATACATATACTGTTTATTTGTTCTTTAAGGTTATATATGACATTTTCAAAATAAAATTGTTTGTTCTTCATTTGGTGGTTTTAAAAACCATAAAATATTGGCTTCAACAGTAGAAAATAATTTTTAATTTTCGAAATCTTAATCAACGATTTTTTTTTTAAATAATTGACATCATTATTTTCAAAATATACATACATTTTTAAAGAAGATCGCACCGCAATAATTTTTATAAAAATCCTATATTATTTACACTTTATTTATAGTCATGATATCAGTCATCTTAAATTAGTTGCATTAAAATATTTATTACTTAAAGATCAATGTTATTCTAAATATATTTTATCATATTTAACATTGATAAATGCAAAAAAATGGTTAAATTGCCTTGAAGATAGTCTCAGCGTTTGCATGAAAATGTCAGTTTTTAAAAAAAAACTAAAGAAGAAAAGTGCGATCAGCACATTATACATTTAGCGATGGTTGACTTACCCCTTCGCCGCTGACCGGATCGCATGACCTCACAACATTCGATACAATAACAAACATAACGTAGAATCCCTTGAAATCACAACAGACGTAATTTGATCCGATTATGTTCAAGTAACCAGCAAGAAGGAAAAAGTCAACTTCTTCACGTACATTTCAGTGCACTTACTTACAAAAAAGTATACATATATATATGTTCTATTATTTTTTGCAATTTAATTGACGAGTTATAAAAAAATATATAACAAAATTTACTTTTTAATAATAAAAGATATTGAAATACACAATAAATGTTAAGAATATGCAAAAGTAATAGGTAACATTGATAAATCTTTAATTTTAAGATGAGATCTTAATCAGCTCCTCATGGGATGCTTTACGTTACTGAAAGATTCCAGGTGGCGCCACGTGAGCCGGCTCTAGATGCTTCTTCCCTAGGTGGGGTGACGGTGGATGTGGTTACTAGGCAACGAATTGCCAGAGATCGACCGAGAATCACCCTCAACTCACTATAATGAAGGGTGCGTCCTTGCGTAGGTGTTGGATGAAGCTGTCAATGTATTTTCTACACTCGGGGAGCGAGCTGGGAGGGTACAACTGTACTTATGTAGCAACTGCAAATAATCTTATAACATAAGAAGACGCAACATTTATAGAATTCATCACATGAAAAACAATCATTCGCAGAATCACAGTAAATTGTGAGGCATCTAAAACCGCTGCAGATTAAATTAACACCAAAAAAAAGATTAAAATAATTCATTCTGGTGTTATTTTTTACTATGAGTGAAATTTTTCTTCAAATCAAAACAAAGTCAACGATTACTAACTAATTAACTCAGTTACGAACTAACTTACTAATTAAAAAACTTAGTTACTAACTAACTTACAAAGTAAGTCACTAACTTACTATCTAACTTACCAACTTACTTACTTACTAACAAACTTACTAATTTCAAACTTAGTTACTAACTAACTTAATAACTAAATAACGAACTAACTAACTAGTTAACTAACTACAAACTTAGTTACCTATACAAATTTTTCTTACTAACTGAGTTAGCTAAATTAAAAAATAACTTACTAATTAACCAGCTAACTAACTTAACAGTTACAAACTAATTAATATAATTCCGAACAAATTTACTAACTTAGTTACTAACTAACTTAACATCTAACTCACCAACCTACTTACTTACTATCTAACTTACCAATCTACTTACTTACTAGCTAACTAACTTACTAATAACAAACTTAGTTAATAACTTATTTACTAACGAGCTAAATAACTTACTAACTTAGTTACTAACTAATTTACTATCTAACTTACCAACTAACTAACTAAATAACTCAGATATGAAGTAACTTACTAACTAATCTACTTATAAAATACCTAACTAACTAACTAACAAGCCTACGAATTTAGTAACTACCTAACTTTCTTACTAACTTATCAACTAACATGCTAACTACCTTAGTAAGTTACTAACTTTTTGATTATTTTATTAACTAACTTACTAAGTGAGTTAGTAAGTTACTTAATAACACAGAACTACAACATTTTTTTAAAGGAAGTATTATCCGGACCATATTTTTTATATGTTTTTTGGATCGCTCAATTCGAATCCGAACTCAGTTTTACGCCATCACGTCAAATTTCTTCACAAATTAGTCAAATTCGCAAAAAACTGACTGTAAACAAGATAAAAATAAAAATAAGCAGAAGAATCTATTAAAAAAAAACAACTTTAACGCACTTGAAAAATATTATATATAATGTTAAACAATAAAAAAAAACTCGTAAATATTCAAAATTTCAAATGGTGGATCCAATATGGCGTCGTTTTTTTCAAAATTCACCCAATGCGCCTGAAACTTGTTACTCGGTGGTGTTTGGGGTTGCTAAATACGAATTTCACCTTATAGTTTTCAAAAATTCAAAATGGCGGATCCAATATGGCTGACCAATTTTTAAAAAATTTATTGGATTTACCTGAAACGCTATACTCGGAGGTTTTTGGGGTTGCTGAATACAAATTTCACCTTAGTTTTAAAAAATTCATAATTTGATAAATTTTTAAAAAATTCGTTAGCCATATTGGATCCGCTATTTTGGTTTTTTTTTAAACCAATGTGAAATACGTATTCATCGACTCCAAAAACCCCCGAGTAACAAATTTCAAGTAAATCTGATAAATTTTTAAAAAATTCGACAGCCATATTGGATCCGCCATTTTGAAGAAACTTGACGTGATGGCGGAAAACTGAGTTCGGATTCGAATTCAGCGATACAAAAAACATATAAAAAACATGGTCTGGTCAATACTTCCTTTAAAAAAAATTTTGTTGTCCTGTGTAAGTTATTTAGCTAGTGAGGTTGATAATAAGTTAGTTAGTAACTAATTTAGTTAGTTTGTAATATAGTTAGTTATTAGTAAGGGGTCTTCCAAAAACCACGTGGCGCCCCAAGGGGGAGGAGGGGGGCTAAGCTATGGACTACGATAAGAGGAAAAAATGTCGCTAATACATGTAAAAGCATGCAACATGGGGGGGTGGCAATTTCAAAAAAATGGGACCACGTGGTTTATGGAAGATCCCTAACTAACTAAGTTAGTTGGTATCTAAGTTAGTAGTAAGTTACTAACTATCTTAGTTAGTAAATTAGTTAGTTAGTAAGTAGGATTATATGTTAGTTAGTAACTAAGTTAGTAAGTTAGTAAGTTAGTAAGTTAGTTAGTTACACTGAGAAAAATGGATATTAAGCCTTATTATCTAGATATTAATGGTCAATATCTATGTGACAGTGAACTATGTAAACTTCTTAGATGTTCAAATTTAATATCTAAGATATTGGAAAAAGACTTGTTCAAACATAACCTCACATTTACAGATTATACTTTTTAACATCTGAGATATTAAACCATAATATCTGGATGATATCCATTAGCATCTTTTCTTAATATCTAGTATATTAAGATTTTTAATATCCAGTTTTCTCAGTGTAGTAAGTTGGTAAGTAAGTTAGTAAGTTAGGTAGTAACTAAGCTAGTTAATAAGTAAGTTAGTAACTTGGTTAGTTAGTTAGTAAGTTAATAAGTTTGTTAGTAATATAGTTAGTTGTTTGTTATTAAGTTAGTTAGTAACTAAGTTAATAAGTATAATTAATTAATATAATGACTAATTAATAGTAATTAAGTTAGATAGAAAAAAAGTTAGTTAGTAATTAAGTTAGTATGCTACTTAGTAACTAAGTTAGTAAGTTAGTTGGTAACTAAGTTAGTAAGTTTGTTTAATTAGCTAGTTAGTTAGAATGTTAGTTACAAAATACTTTTGTCTCTGGTGATGCTAAATGTACCGAATTTTGATAAATCGTTGACTTGGTGTTTGATTTGAAGTAAAATTTGATTCATAATAAAAAATAACCCCAAAATATATTATTTTAAACATTTCTGATGTTAATTTAATCCTAGATGGATTAATGCGTCGCAGATTATTTTCCTCTATTTTGGTGTTATTTTAACACCTATGATTTACTGTGATTATATTTTGAATAACAATAAATGAATGCTATTTTATAAATATCGGTTTTGATTTGGATCTTTCTTTTTAAAGTGAAGCTATAGGTATACCTATACTGAAAATTGTAAAGCAAGAATCCTCGTAGATTCCAACTTGGAATACATTATTTTATAAAAACGAAGGTATACATAAATTATTGGACCTGAGTTTGAAACTGTATAAATATAATGAATGAGGATGAATGAGATTATTGACGCAATATAAATACCGCGTATTGGCATTTATAGTTATAAATTAATAATTATAAATAATTTAACAACAAAAATGGTAAATAACATTAACAATAATATATAGTAACACTAATTCTTAAAATATTCCTCTTCTTAATTAGATATTGTATTAGAGATAGAGACTAACAATGAATATAGTAAATAAAGTAGAAAAAAATGTTTATAACATTTAAAAATTAAATAATAATCAATGTAATATATGACTTAATATAGTCAATTAGATTTGCAAATTTTAGTAGAATGATTGAAATCTAGAAATAACGCAAACTTTTAAAATTACGCACAAGCATTAGAATCAAACCCACGACCTACGGACTTATATAGACTATCCATTTTTCTCTATAGTGTAAGAACTCTTTTCATTGTTTACCTAAAAATTTTGGAAAAGTTGTCTGATTCGTTTCAGTTTCGTAAAAAAAAATGTTTTTCGATGCTGAACTCGACACCAACTTCAGAGTTTTAATTTTTAATTCTAAAAAAATATTGAGATTTCTTAAGCTTTAATTATTTAAATTAAAAATAATTTTTGTTCATGAGAAAAAAGGTACGTTGTGTATAATGTTCAATTTGATTATTTTTAATGAATGTGTCTTTCATATTCTATAATTGTTTAATGTTTTAAATCGCACTCTTTTATTTCAAATTTGAAAAACTTCAATTTAAAAAATTCTAACAAAATTATTCATATGCAATATAATTCTTTTGTATATTTCTTATTGATTATTTAGTAGAAATATTTAAATTGAAGTTTTTCAATAATTTTGAAAATAAGGTATGTGTAGTTCTTAGTTTACAATTTATAGAAATAAGATAATTGATAATAATAATTTAGTTTGTTTTGAGTTTGGTGTTTCCCACTCCGACCCCATTCTCAATAATTAAGCCCTTGGACCCTATAGCTGCAACCGCGCGCTGCGGCAGTTTTAGAATCCAGAGGCTTAATTTATTACTTATTTTTATTCAATTTATTAATAATGATTGAATATAATTTTCTAATTTTTTGTCGAAAATTCTACATTTGAATTGGTTTAGTTTCCGACATTCGACACTTTGGCGTCCCTAAACCGAAAAAAACTCGATTCGAATTTTAGTGATTACATATTTAATTTTATTTTAAAAAAATGTTAATATTGCAAATTCATTTAAAAAATCTATGTTTCATTTCTGTGAAAATTATTGGGTTTATTATTACAGTAAATATTTAATATATTTAACTCAAAGTGATAGAAAATTTTAAACTTAAAAATACTGTTCTTCAGCTGTTAAATCATGAAACCACAAAAATAATCGCGCTCCATTTGCTATAGTCATTAATAAAAAAAGAACAAAATGTACAGTGAACAAAAATTCGAGCAAAAACTTATCTCTTAAAGAGATTATCTCATATGACGAGAGATATATTATATCATAGTGAGTAATCGAATTCTCACTAACTTTTACCACCATTAAATGATTCTATACTTTTATTCTCTTCTACTTGTCTTGACATACTGATGCATACTGTGGAGAGACACATTTTTTCACACTGCATATTTTCAATAATTATTAAATATAAAATTTTATTATGTAGCTTGATCATCATTAATGATAAAATCATACTTTATAAAAATAAGGAAAATACTAGGAATGAGACAAATTCAGTAAAATAAATAATAATTCTTTAACAAAGTTGTAGAAATTGTAAAAATAAATAAAATGTATATAGTTTAAGATTTTTTTTTAAATTTAAACGTAAATAAAGTATTTTTAAATGACAAGAGAGATTTTTATTGTTGTCGCGTTTCAATGTAGAGAGTTAATTGAACGGATGCTAAAATAATGTCGTAAATTGACAGAATGTACTTAATTATGAATTTAATTCATATTTGTCCTATCAGTAGAATTATTTAATAACTATAGTGAAATATTTTAAAGAAAAATAATTTTGTTATTTT